GCCGAGGTCACCCTGGCAACAGAGGCCGGTGACGGTGACATTTTCCCAATCAATCGCCCTCTGCAATTAGCGGACACCCCCCCCGCCCTTCCCGGGTAATTAATGAGCGCCGGGAGGCCGGGACAGAGGGGTCCCTGGGGCGCTGCGGGAGCTGTCCTGCTGTGTCCGTGTGTCCCCTCCCCAGCACCGCGGGGTTTGTCCTGCTGTGTCCCCTCCCAGGAGCCGCGGTGGCTCTCCTGGTGTGTCCCCTACCCTGCCACCGCGGGGTTTGTCCTGCTGTGTCCGTGTGTCCCTTCCCTGGGCAACACGGGGTTTTTCCTGCTGTGTCCCCTCTCCGGACACCACGGGGTTTGTCCTGCTGTGTCCGTGTGTCCCCTCCCTTGGCACCGCAGGGGGTGTCCCCGTATGTCCCCTCTCTGGACATCGCGGGGTTTGTCCTGCTGTGTCCGTGTGTCCCCTCCCCAGCACTGCTGTGGCTGTCCCTGTGTGTCCCCTCCCCGGGAGCTGCCCCTTGGCAGCCCCAGCCCTCCCGGGGAAGCGTTAAACCCTCCGGGCCCCGTCCAACGTGGCTCTGTGTCCTCCTGTCCCTCCACATGCCTGGGGCTGGCTGAGCGCTGCTCCCTTGGGACCAGGGCTCTCACAACCCTAAAATCCCACCTGCCTCCACCCTTACCCTGGAGGAGGCTTGAAGGGTCCCTGTCACCCTGCAGGCTCCAAAAGAGCAAAAAAAAAAATTAAAAACAAAAAAGCAAAATGCTTTTGTCACTGCAGGGGCTCCCTGATGTCACCTAGGCCATCAGGTGAGCTGCAAGGGGGGAGCAGAGGGACCCTCGGGCATGGGGAGGTCACTGCCAGAGCCAGCAGTGCCACAAACACCCTGAGGAGGCTGAGAAGGCTCCAGGTGTGACTTTCACAGCCTCGGAGCGCCGCTGCCATCGCCGAGCCATCAGCTGTGTGTTAAATAAAACACATTGCCTGTGAGGTCATCTAATGGGCCATTATTTCTTTATTTGAACTTTTTACCTTCACCTCTTCCTCCGTGCTGAATCAGCTCCTTGGCTTGGCACTTCCATTCCTGCCCCATTTGGGAGATTGATGCGGGCTCTGGGGGGAGCCTGGCAGGGCCGGGGATGCCGATGGTGCAGTGAGTTTTTATGTTTTATAATGGTTTTGTCTTTGTATCCCCTTATTTTCCCCAGATTGTGTCCCCTCCGTCCACCTGGGTGATCCCTTTCCTTTGCTGAGATCATCCCCAAATCCCCACCCTGGCTCTCTGTCACCCACTCACCATCCCATCCCCTCCATCCAGAACTTTCCATCCAGGACATCGAGTGATCAGCCAGAGGCCAGGGGTCACCCCCCAAGTGATCCCATATCCTGTCCTAAATGTCCATCCCTTAGGGTCACTACTTTGGGTTTCCACCTCCCTTTCCATGTAACCCTGGCACCTCTCAGCAGGAGCCCCCTGAGGCTGTGGGGGCTCCCAGCAGCTCCTGAAATAAATTTTCGATTAACCCCTGCTAAGAGTCAACTCCTTCATCTTCTGCCGTTGTTCCAGCGTCTCCTCTGCTGCAGGGGATCAGCCTGGCTGCCCTCTGTCCTTCTGTACCCCCAGAATCAGCCTGGCTGCCTTTGGTACCCCCGGGATCAGCCTGGCTGCCTTTGGGGTTCCCTCGGTGGCACTCAGAGGGACCAGAACATGCCGGGGCTCCGGGGGGAGCCTGGCGGGGCCGGGGATGCCGAGGCTCCGTCCCGGCCCCGGGATGAGGCAGGAGGAGCCGGGATCTGCCTGGGAACCCCTGGGGGGGTGGGGTTTGCACAGAGTGAGGGTCCGGCCGCGACCCCCCCCTCCTGGTTCAGTCCGGGGGTTGGGATCATGTTCTGTCCAAAAGGAGCGGCACCGATTTCATCCCTTTTTCTTGGGATGTCCTGGAGGGGCAGGGAGCAGTGGGAGCGGGGGTGGCCTGGGGGAGGATGGGCTGGGCTGCAAAACCGGCCGGGGGCATGAACAGACATAGAACCAGAGCACACAGCCTCAAGCTGCACCAAGGGAAATTCAGGTTGGATATCAGGAAAATGTTTTTTACAGAAAGGGTGATGAAGTTCTGCAATGGCTGCCCGGGGAGGTGGTGCAGTCCCCATCCCTGGGTGTGTTTAACAAAGCCTGGATGTGGCACTGGGTGCCAGGGTTCAGTTGAGGGGTTGGGGCTGGGATGGACTCGATCTTGGAGGTTTCATCCAACCCAGTGATTCTGGGATTCTGTGAACAGTGGCTGCAAACTGAAGGTGTCGAGGAATCACAGAATGGTTTGCATTGGGCAGCAGCCGGGTTCCAAAAGCGCAGAGGGGGGACAGGATGGGAGCCCTCGGGGCTGGGACCCCTCTCATCCCTCAGCCCGTGCAGCACCTGTGTCACCCTGTGCCAGAGTGGAGGGGGGAGGGGGACACACCTGAGCGGCCACGTGGGGACACACACAGGGCCACCTCCAGCCCCAAGCAGCAGAATGGGGTCTTGTCCCTGCTGCTGTCACAGAATCATGGAATGCTTTGGGTTGGGAGGGACCTCAAAGCCATCCAGTGCCACCCCTGCCATGGCAGGGACACCTCCCACTGTCCCAGGCTGCTCCCAGCCCTGCCCAGCCTGGCCTGGGCACTGCCAGGGATCCAGGGGCAGCCCCAGCTGCTCTGGGAAATCCATTCCAGGGATGGATTCCACAATTCCTGATTCCCAATCTCCCACCCAGCCCTGCCCTGTGGCAGTGGGAGCCATTCCCTGTGTCCTGTCCCTGCAGGCCTTGTCCCCAGTCCCTCTGCAGCTCTCCTGGAGCCCCTTCAGGCCCCAAAAGGGGCTCTGAGGTGTCCCTGGAGCCTTCTCCTGTCCAGGTGAGCAGGCCCAGCTGTGCCAGGCTGGCTCCAGAGCAGAGGGGCTCCAGCCCTGGCAGCATCTCCGTGGCTCCTCTGGCCTGGCTGCAGCAGCCCCACGTCCTCCTGCTGCTGTTGCCCAGGGCTGGGGCAGCTCTGCAGGTGGGGTCTGACCTGAGCCCAGGGGCAGAGGGGCAGAATCCCCCCCTGCCCTGCTGCCCACGCTGGGGCTCAGCCCAGCACAGGGGGGGTTTCTGGGGCAGCCTGAGCCTCTCACCCACCAACAGCCCAGGTCCTTCCCTCAGGGCTGCTCTCCCTGAGCTCATCCCCGGGCTGTGCTCAGGGCTGGGATTGCCCTGACCCTGCTGCAGGACCTTGGACAAGCTGAACGTCCAAGGTCTTCTCCAGGTCTTCTGCAGCTTGGGAAGGACCTCCTGGGAATCCTGTCCAGCCCCTCCCAGCCCCAGGATGTCTCCAGCACCCCCCCATCACAACCCACCAGCAGGCAGAGCAGTCACAGACTCGGGGATGTGCATCTAGTCAACACTCTTTTATTAAAAACAATTACAAAAAGTTACAGGTTACAATCGTTCTGTACAACCCAACCAAACCTCTGGTGCCTGGGGAGGTGATGGCAGCCCTGGGCCAGGACAGGCTCTGAGCACACCCACGGATGTGGTTCCACCCTCCCAGGGACATCCCTTCACACAGACACCCCCTCACCCCAACCCCAACAGCCTCAGTTGAGGCTGACCATGGGGAAAGGATGGAGGATGGAGCCAAAGCCGCAGAGCAGGACTCAGCACAGTGTGCCCATGGCTGTGCCAGGGCAGGAGCTGCTGTGGGAGGCTGGGAAGGAGCAGGAGCTGCCTGTGAGGAACAGGCAAGAGGCAAGAGCCAGCTCTGCTCCAGGGACATTCCATCCCTGCAGCCAGGGGTGAAGATAAACTGGGGATAAACGTGGCAAAGAGGCAGAAACAGGAACAAACCTTCCCTCCCCAGCTGGGAGGCACTGAACTGTCTGTCCCACAGCCTGGGCTGGGGCAGCTCTGTCCCTGCAGGCACTGGGACACAGGGACAGCCCAAGGGCTCCCAAGGCAGGGAAGGAGCAGAGCTGGATGTGGAGCACTGGGGGAGCTGCATCCCCAAAACCTGGGGCGAGGAACTGCCAGAGGGAACAAGGATGGGCTCAGCAGCACCAGGAGTCTGCACAGCCCCACTGCTCCTGGATCTCCTGCAGAGCCTGGCACAGGAACCACCTCCCTGCCTCTGAGGGCAGCAGTGGGATGGGAGAGTCCACCAGGGCCAGAGTGGGGCTGGAGCAGGGACATCCCTGTCCTGACCCCAGCCCTGGAGCAGGGACATCCCTGTCCTGGACCCCTGCCCACAGCTGGGCCAGCTCAGCAGGACCTGCAGGGGACACAGAGCTGTCCCCAGACCCTGAGCCCAGCAGGGGCACAAAGGAATGAGCAGGACCTGGCTCTGACAGGAACCAGAGCCCAGCAGCTCCTCTGCCCCACTGTCCCCAGACTGGCACAGCCAGGGACACAGCAGCCACCAAGGGACACAGGGACACAACTCCAGGGCTGCCAGGGAGGCTCAGGGTCCCTGCTCCGGGGTGAAGGTGCTCCCTGAGCCCAGCTGAGGGACCATGGGCTCCATGGGGATTGCTCCCCTCAGCTCTGCTGTCCCCAGAGGAAGCCACCAGTGCCACCCAGTCACCCCAGTGACAGTGACACCCAGCAGAGCTCCAGTCCAGGTGCCACACACACAGCTGGGTCCCTCACTCTCTGCAGAATCCCAACATGTGAATGAGGTGAAATGAAGGAATTTTGAAGAAAGAGGTGAAATTTTCCCCTATTGCTTTCGCCTGGGCCAAGTCCCTGCAGCAGGGCCAGCCTGGTGGGGAGTCCTGCACTCTGCTGAGGCCACCCTCAGCTGTAACCCCATCTGCACCCCAAAAACCTTGTTCCCTGAGCACAAGCTCACTGGGGCCCTGCTGGAAGCTGAGGGTGAGGGAAGGACCCCTGTCCCACCCTGCAGGGATGGGGTGCAGCCTCTCCCTGGCTCTGGAGCTGTTTGTCCCTGTCCTGCCTCGTGGCTCCCTGAGGGCTGGCAAGGGGGACACTGGTGGTTCCCCCTTTGCACTGCCTGCAGAACCAGGTGCCAATTCCCAGATCCCACCCCACTGCTGTCCCTCAGAGCCTCCTCTCCTGCAGCTCCACTGTGGGATTGCACCAGGAGCCCTTCCCAAGTGCTTGATCCTCAGCTCTTGCTTCCCACACCAGCTCCACAATCCCCTCACAGCTTCCTGCCCAACCTTCTTCCATCTCCCCCCTCTCCAAACATTGCTTTGGAGTACAGAGGCAATTTAAGTTACATTTGGGAGAGGGAAAAAAAAAAAAAAAAGTAAACAATCTACCTTTAACTGAACCAGAAAGATCCTTCTGCACATCTCCAACCTACCTCTAACAAGCTTCTCCTAGGAACCAACAAGTTCTGGTTGTGCTACTCCAAACCACCTTGCCAGGCCCAAAAGGCAGAGCTTGGACCACAGAGAATCCCTCAGGTGGAGCCTGAGGATCTGAGAGCCACCAGCTGGGCAGGGGGGCTGCAGGTGTGAGTGCAGGAATCCTGCTGGGGTGGTGGGGAGCAGGAACATGCTGCTGGCACGGGGGACAGAGTGGCTGTGGGCATTTATTGCACTGCTTCTTCCCAGAGGTGCAGGAGAACGGCAGAGACACCACACGAGGTCATCGCTTCACCTTGGCATCCTCTCTGATCTTCCACACCATCAGCTCCATGCAGGCTCTGGCATCCTCACTGGAGTCGTGTCCTTCCACTGGGGACACAAACACAGTGCCACTGACCCCTCTGCCTGCTCAGCCCAGCCCAGGGAGCTCCCCAGGCAGAGGCAGCTCCTCCCTGGCCCTGCAGCCACAGCCACACCTGGGAGCCCCCTGAGCACAGCTGGGGATTGAAAGGATTCCACACAATCACAGAATGGTTTGTGCTTTATGCTTTGTTCAAGCCCATCCAGTGCCACCCCTGCCATGGCAGGGACACCTCCCACTGTCCCAGGCTGCTCCCAGCCCTGCCCAGCCCGGCCTTGGGCACTGCCAGGGATCCAGGGGCAGCCACAGCTGCTCTGGGAAATCCATTCCAGGGATGGATTCCACAATTCCTGATTCCCAATCTCCCACCCAGCCCTGCCCTGTGGCAGTGGGAGCCATTCCCTGTGTCCTGTCCCTGCAGGCCTTGTCCCCAGTCCCTCTGCAGCTCTCCTGGAGCCCCTTCAGGCCCCAAAAGGGACTCTGAGGTGTCCCTGGAGCCTTCTCCTGTCCAGGTGAGCAGGCCCAGCTGTGCCAGGGAACAATTCCTGCCCAATATCCCATCTAAATGGGATTTTTTCCCATCTAAACTCCACTTCTTTAAGTGGGAAGCCATTCCCTGTGTCCTGTCCCTCCATCCAATGTCCCCAGTCCCTCTGCAGCTCTCCTGGGGCCCCTTCAGGCCCTGCAAGGAGCTTTAAGGAGTCCCCAAACCCTTCTCTTCTCCAGGCTGAACACTCCCAACATTAATCATGTCTTTTTTTCCACTAAACCCATACTTTTTGCTGGGTTTGAGCCTGACACCATCAGCTGTGGAACAGCTGGGAGCTTCCCCAGCAGTGTTTAGAATGACAGGAGGGAACAGACTCCACTTCCAACAGGAGGGTCCATCCCAGCTGAGCAGAGAGAGAAGGGAGGACAGGACCTGACCTTGATAGAACCACCCTGAGCCTTCCCACATCCCTTCCTTGGTCCCACTCAGCACAGGGAGGGAAGCAGGGAGAGCTCAGCCCTTGGAAGAGGGGTCAGACAAATGAACTGTGGCTGAGGTTCCTTACACCACACACATGCAGGGCAGAAAACACAGTGTCAGGAGGGCTGGGGAGAGCAGAGGAAGGCAGGGCTGAGGAGAGCACAGCCAGGGGGTCCCTCGGGGTCTCACCATTGTCCTGGATGATGCGTTTGAGGTAGTCGGCCATCAGCGTGCGCAGCGCCCGCTTGTAGGGCAGCCCCAGGCGGTGGGGGAACACGATGGCTGTGTCCACCACAGTGCCATGGATCAGCTGGGGAGGAGCACAGCAACAGGGTTAGTCCCCATTCCCACAGGGACAGGCCCTCCTGGGGAGCAGGAACCTCCTGGTCAGCTCTGGGCTCTGTGCAGCTTCCAGCCCAACCAGTCTGGCAGGAGGCTCTGGCTGGATGTGGGCACCCATGGCAGGGTGTGGGCACACAACATTCCCACTGCTGTGCCAGCCCCACAGCCCTGCAACCTCACACTCAGGAGGTTTCCTGAGTCTCAGCAGGGATTGGGGCTGATCCAGCAGGACAGGCCAATCCTAAACCCCCCAGCCTGGAGAAGCTGGAATAGCTCTGGAGTATTTCTCAATTAAAAATTACACTGACTGCACAACAGTCCCTGTGGGAGCTGCAGCAACCTTTCAGCTGCTTCTCAGTCTGGGGAGGGGCACCCTGCCCATTGGAACTGGGTTATCTTTGTGGTGCCTTCCAACCCAACCATTCTGGGGTTCTGAGATGAGGCCAGGATGTGCACACAGGACAAAGCAGGATGTACATCCCAATGCTGCCTGGCCTTCAGGGTGCAAACCAACCCCAAATCCTCCCATCCACCAGCAGTGACTCAACAGGAAGTTTTTAACCAGCACCAGCTCAGCAAGGGTGGAATGGGACAAAGAAATTTTATCACTGAATCACATCAGAGTGTGTTTGGGGTTGGGACTTTTTAAAGGGCTTCTACTCCATCCAGTGCCATGGCAGGGACACCTTCCCCTATCCCAGGCTGCTCCCAGCCCTGCCCAGCCTGGCCTTGGGCACTGCCAGGGATCCAGGGGCAGCCCCAGCTGCTCTGGGAAATCCATTCCAGGGATGGATTCCACAATTCCTGATTCCCAATCTCCCACCCAGCCCTGCCCTGTGGCAGTGGGAGCCATTCCCTGTGTCCTGTCCCTGCAGGCCTTGTCCCCAGTCCCTCTGCAGCTCTCCTGGAGCCCCTTCAGGCCCCAAAAGGGACTCTGAGGTGTCCCTGGAGCCTTCTCTTCCCCAGCTCTCCCAGCCTGGCTCCAGCCCTCTAATCCAACAGCTCAGCTGTGAATTGTCACCAAGCTGGGAGAACTGGGGATGCTGACCAGGTCAAAGTGCTCCCTGCCCTGCACCAAGGGGGCTCAGGACAGCCAGAAGGCCCCACCTGATAATCACAGGGCAGGCTGGCTTTGCCTTTTTTAACACTGATTTCTTCCTCTCAGGCTAAGACAAGATGAATTCTCTGCTGTCATGAGCTGCATTCAGTAGGAGCTGAAGGAATGTGGGTGAGGGCAATCCCACATCCTGAGCACAGCAGTGAAGGGCAGGGCCTAAGAGATAAAACTGGGTCCTGTCCCAGTAGAGATAACTCTGACAGGACCCTGATAATCCCCTCTCCTCTCTGCCCCCAGGCACCAGCTCATGCTGCAGGACAAGCCAGAACTCCATCAGGAACAGCTCCACAACTGCACTTCAACAGGAACAACCTGCTCCTCTCCTCAGAATATAAAACTGCCAATGTTATGGATAATCTCCCCTGGCCTGCACTCAGCCCTGGCACCCTCCCAGGCACACTGGTAATTACTTATGTAGATCAGGAAGAGTGAGGAAACAGGATAATAAAAACAGGATAATAAAGCCTTAAATAAAACTTGAAATGCCATCAGCACTTGGAAGTTGCCACAGCCATTAGTGAGATATGGCTTTAGTGCCACAGCCCTGGGCCATTCTGCTGTGACACCCCACACTGCTCTGGGCTCCTCCTCTTGGCAGCAGCTGTGGTGCTGAGAGAAAATCAAGCCTCTAAGAGGCCAAGGCAGTCATCTCGAGCTGATCTAACTGGGAATAATGTCTTTCTGATTATGATGAAGCCTCTCCAAGGCTGGGATAAAGGGTGCCATGGAGAGGTAAAGTGTTTTACAGGCATTAAAAGCTCCTGCTTCCAAGCCAGCCCAGCCCTGGGAGCTGGCAGCCACAGAGGCTTCAGCAGGAGAGCTGTGGGACAAAGAATGGCTGAGGGAATTCTGGCATGTGAGCACAAAGACTTGGCTCCTGTCCTGGTGACCCAGGACAAACCCCTCAGTGCAGGACACAGTCCCTGGCAGGGCCCTGGGCACACCAGGCTGGTGAGGGCCAGGCAGGAAACAGGACAGGTAAAAGGTAAAAATAATTTCACCAAAGTAACACCACAATTCCTAGAAAAGCTGGCACAGAACAAAGAACAGATCAGGCAGAGGTGAGAGGCAAATGGTTTGGGATCAGTCATAGAATCATGGAATGGTTTGGGTTGGGAGAGATCTCAGAGACCATCCTGTTCCACCTTCCACCAGCCCAGGCTGCTCAGAGCCCTGTCCAGCTCTGTCACCCTGGGCAGCAGCAGCCACTGAGAGCTCAGGTGACACCAGGAGTGACAGACACGACCCCACTGCCTGCACTGCCAGCACAGCCAGCTCCACACAGGCTCAGAGACTGGACAGACCATGGAGTCCTGGAATGTGCTCAGTGGGAAGGGACCCTCAGGGATCATTGATCCCAGCCCTGTCCCTGCACAGCCACCCCAACACCCCCACCCTGAGCAGCCCTGGGAGCTCCTGCAGCTCTGGCAGCCTTGGCACCATTCCCTGGGCAGCCTGGGCAGTGCCCAGCAGCCTCGGGGGGCAGAACCTTGCCCTGAGCTCCATGCCAAGGCCTGGCACAGCTGCAGCCCTTGCTGGGCTCCTGTGTCTGGTCATGAGAGTGAAAAGATCAGCCCCTGCCCCTCCTCTTCCCCCATGAGGATGCTGAAGACCACAATGAGTCTCCTCTCAGTCTCCTCTAGGCTGAACCAGCCAAGTGCCCTCAGCTGCTCCTCATGAGGCCACTCAGACCCTTCCCCATCCTCACAGCTCTTCTGGACACTCTCTAAAGTCTGCATGGCTTTTTTATATTTTTTATATTGTGGTGCCCAAAACTGCACACAGGATCTGAGGTGAGGCCAGCCCCCTGATCCTTGGAAATAACCAGCTCCTAAATCCCACCTAACACCCCCCAGGGTGGGAAAGCAGTCCAGGGAGATGTGAAGGCAGAGCCCAAGTTACCTTTAGTGCAAATAAGTCGCTTTCCAAGCTGTGCCCTATCAGAATGGTGTCTGCACTGAACATGTTCAGGAGGACGGCTTGGACATCCCGCAGGGTGATGCTCGTGTTCTCCAGGTCCTCTTCTGTCACACCTGAGAACCTGCACAGCAACAGCACAGAACAGGTGGGGTCCTTCACCTGAAGAAACACCTCAAAGCCCCTCAGCCCTTAGGGACTGGTGGTCAGTGGAGTTTCAACAAGTTCCTGAGAGAGCACAAAGCTCTGTGCCAAGGCAGACCCTCCTCACCTGGTGTTGTAATCCACCACCTTGGAGTCTGGCTTGACAAAGGTGTCATACACCACCTTCAGCTCTGAGTTGATCACAGTCACTCTTGTCAGCTCCAGTCCTTGCTTAGTGTAGCACTGCAAGAACAGGGCAGATGTGATGAGAGGCACAGGCCAGAACAGTGTGGGATCTGTGGAGCCCCTCACCCAAGGGCTGCAGCTCCCAAAATGTCCAAAATGCCCAAAAAAAAATTCCAAAACATCTGGTGCAGCAAGGCCAGGCAGCAGCACTGCCCAGCATGGGCCAGTCAGAGCCTGCCAGGGCTGCACAGCCCTCAAGCCAAACACAGCAATCAATAAGAGCTCATTTGCACCTCCAGCACCAATATTCAGAACAGAGAGAATGAGGTCAGCAAACAGCTTCCCTCCAGCCACTCGTGTCACACCTCAGGCAGCCCCAAAAAGCTTTGCTTTGGCTTTGGACCCACCATTTCACAGTCTAAGGCATAGATCCCAGGGTAGCCATCAGTTGTGGGCAGCTTCTCAAAAGTCTTGACAAAACCATCCAGGCTCTCCTTGCGCCCATCGTGCACGTGTTGCTGAGAGGAAAAGAGAGACAGCTGGTGAGCAGAGGAACAAGAAGCCAAAGAGCCCACTCCAACAAACCTCCACTTCAACAAAAGTGGGGTTTTAATGATTTCTTAATGAGGAATAAGTTTTGAGAGGTTCACAGCCACAGCAAACACACCATGGGCAGCCCTGATTCCAGTGGCACGTCAGGGCTGGTGGCATCGTACTGACAGCACAGGGAGGAGCAGGACATGTCAGGAGCTCCATGGGGAGAGGGAGCTTTCAATGTGGAGGAGAATTAGTCAGGAAGGGCCACACTGAGGCCTGGCTCTGCTGGAACTCCAGCTCCTGGTTCCTGTGGCCAAGACAAGGCCAGGATCCTAAGCCCAGACTCTCTTGGGTTTTTAGTTGATAATTGCTGCCCCCAGATGTGCAGGATGTCTCTGCTTCAGCCCGTGCAACTGAAGAACGAGTCTGGACTCTCCACTTTTCTGTCTTGAGGTTGTTTATTAATTCTTATGTATAATATTTTCTTTCTGCCCAGCCGAGATCTGCTCAGCAGGGCAGCCACAGGGCACTCTCTCTGTTGTCTTTTTATTCTACAAACTACATATAACATATTTACACATAATTCCCAATACCCATCACCTGTGTTAGACAGTGCACTTCTACTCTAAACCAATCCCAAAGTGCCAACATCACTGCAGAAAATGGAGAACATGAAGAAGAAGAAGAAAGGCTGGACATGCCCAAGTTCCTCCATCTTGTCCCCATAACCCCCATGCCAAAAATCCTAAAATCTACATTTTCACCCTGTGATTATTTTGTTATTGCACTATTCAAACCTGTGTGACTTTCATGTCCTCATACAAAGCTGGCAGCATGCTCCAGGGGTCAAAATCAAATCCCCAGGTGTTCTGGGCTGCATGCCAGGGTCTCTGAGCCCCCTGACGGGGTCCTTGGCAACTCTGGACACCCAGAGGGATGCACTGAGTCCCAACAAGACTCCAGAGCAATGTGTGCACCCACAGCCAGCCAGCCACACCCACAGCAGCTCCAGCCCACCACACTTGAGGCAATAATGGGCATTTCCAAGCACTCTGCATTGTTCCCAGCTCCAGGGTCAACAAGATCCAGCAGGAAAACTCAGCCAGTGATTTCACAAGTGGTTTTAGCCAGTGCATGACTGAGCTGCTGTTGCAACACAGGTACTCCCATACTCCTCCACAGCTCAGATCCCACTGGTTACCCTGAAACCCTCCTGGCAAGCAGGGGATATGAGCTGGAGGAAGCTTAAAGGGGAAGCAGGAACAGGTAACAGAGGGCAAGGCAGAGCTGGGACTGCCCTTTTGCCTGCTGACATGGTTTTGGTAAAACCAAGCTGCACCACACCCAGAGGTGATGCTCTCCCTCCCTTATTCCCCAGTGGGTTTTTTGTTGTGCTGAAGTTTTGTCTGTCCCTAAATCTCTGTGTATTTGTGTACAACCACAGCAACCTGGGCACAGCCTCCTTTGCCATGCCCAAAACCAAGGAATCACTGAATCCTTAAGGCTGGAAAGGACTCCCAGGGTCATCAAGTCAACCCAGCTGCCCCACCATGGTCACCACTAAACCATGTCCCAAAGTGCCACACCCACATGCTTCCTGAGCACTCCCAGGGATGGTGACTCCACCACTGTCCTGGGCAGCCCCTTCCGATGCTTTACAAACCTTTCAGTGAGGAAATTTTCCCAGTATCTCACCTAAACCTCCCCTGGCCCAGCCTGAGGCTGCTCCCTCTCCTCCTGTCCCTGATCCCTGGCCTGTCCCCTCCTGTCAGGAGCTGTGCAGAGCCACAAGATCCCCCCTGAGCCTCCTTTTCTCCAGGCTGAGCCCCTTCCCAGCTCCCTCAGCCCCTCCTGGTGCTCCAGACCCTTCCCCAGCTCTGTTCCCTTCTCTGGACACTCTCCAGCCCCTCAATGTCCTTCTTGTCATGAGGAGCCCAAACTGACCCCAGGATTTGAGGTGGGGCCTCAGCAGTGCCCAGCACAGGACAGAGCTTCCCAAAGGTCTCACCCTACAAAGAATGAAACTGTTCTGGTTTGTCCCAGGATTAAAGGCTGGAGAGAGGAGGAACTGAGGCCCTTGTAAAGCTGCCATGTGTGGGCAGAGAGGAAACCAAAGCAGGATTTGCATATTTTCCTGCACAGGTCACTGCTGCAGGTACAGCCAGGGCACAGGAACTGCATCATCTGAAGTTAATGAGGCAGCTGGGCCAACACTGAGGCCAATCTCTGCCAGATTCCACAGCCAGCACTGCTCAAAGGCCTCATGGATCACTGATTCCCTGGTACAAGGGGCTACACTTGTCCACTCTGCACCCATGGCATGGAACTGCTCTGCTGAGGGACTGGGAGAGCAGCTCAGCAGCCAGGAGACACCAAACACTTCTCCCTTGCAGCTTCAGCCCTTCCCTCCCTGTGTAACACAACACAACTGAGCAGTGAGTGAAAAAAAACCCCATTAGGAATTTTTGTTGTCATGAAAATGCCCAGTTCTTCCTGGCTGGGAGGAGGGCAGGGAAGTTGCTCCTGGTTTTGAGGAAGCACAAAGAGCAGCCTCTGCAGGCTCCCTGGAGCAGCACAGCTCCCTCCTGCCATCTCCTGCCTCCCTGCTTAACTGCAGCAAACCCAGCTCCCTCACACAGCTGAGTGCCAAATTCTGGGTTTTCCCTCCATTGCAGGGCAAAACAACTCAAGTTCACTTGTTTTATCCCCTTAAGGGAAGCCACTGTTCTGTTAAAGGCTTAAACAAGGATTTCCCAGCCCTGTGCTTGGACACACACAAGTTTTCTGACCAGCTTACTGCTCCAGTTACTGAGAATGGTGTCTCATTACAAATATTTTGTTTTCAAAGCATTTCTTCAACACTGAAGGATTCTGTGCTCCCCAATAACCCAACATCCCAAAATTTCACTGGGTGCTCTGATGCTGAGCAGGCTGTGGATTCAACCTTGAATCTACCAAAAGGTGCTGTGAAAACTGGGGGCTTATAAAAAGGACGGAGAGAGACCTTTTAATAGTGGTATGGAGTGACAGAACACATGGAATGGCTTTTTATACTGGTATGGAAGGACAGGACACAGGGAATGGCTCCCACTGCCAGAGGGCAGGGCTGGGTGGGAGATTGGGAATCACAAATTGTTCCCTGGCAGGATGGGCAGGCCCTGGCACAGGGTGCCCAGAGCAGCTGATTTAAAAAAAAAATCCTAAATTCATGTAGAAAAGAACAAAAAGTAATAACCTGATGCCATCCAATCCAACTGTGCAGGGCAGGCTTTTATGGTATAAACAAATAAATTGTAACAAACCTTGAATTTTGCCCAGAATCACCTTCCACCTCTAGCTTTTGGTTCTTCACTGTGTGGCAGCTGCCAGATATAAAAATGCCACTAAAACAATGACAAGGAACATGCCCAGAGACCTGGGAGAAAGGCACAGGACAGACTGGGGATGTGGGGTGGCACCAACTCTCCTGCTGCCTAAGGGAAAGAAAAAAGCACCTGTGCAAAGGTACCCAGACCCTCTGCTCCATCAAACTCCACACCTGAGAAGATTCTTAATTCCTTTTTCTAGTGCTGGGCTCCCTCAAAAGAAGTTTTGTGATACTTTGGAGTTAAACAGGCTCCTTGGGAAGGTTCTTCCCCTCATTACAACCAACAAAACTTGTGAGAAAAGATCTGTCCACCAGGATAAAGTTACCTTAGAATGGGAATCTGGAAGGGAATAGATGGGAAAAAGGGTTTGGCACTGTTGCCAAAGCTCCTTAAAAGGAAATCCCTTATTTCTCATTCCTTCTCTGATTCACTGAAGAACATGAGCTTTCCTATGTCCCTCAAGCAGATGAGCTGGGCAGCTCAGGATAAATGAACCCAGCTCACTCCAGACAGCTGAGTGTCAAATACTGGATTTTCCTACCACTGCAGAGCAAAAATAATTAAGTTGCACTTGTTTTATCCCCTTAAGGGAAACCACTGTTCTTCTAAAGGCTTAAGCAAGGATTTCCCAGCCACTGCCACTGTGAGCAGGGCACAAACGTCACAGAGAATAAAGAGGTGTTGTTCCATCACTTACTTTAGCAACCTGGCAGCCTGGTGACCCCACAGCTCCAGAGCAGCAGCTGTAGTGAGTTTCCCACCCACCTGGCACTGAAAGAGAAAGAGATGAAGGGTCAAGGAGAAAATTCTTGTTAACAAGAGACCTGAACTTCAGCTTTCACTGCAGATCCCCTGGATAAGCATGGCAAGAATGTGTCAAACACAGGGGGAAAATAACTGTGGATTCACAGGCAGCAATCTAAAGAGTTTAAGTCTCTGGTACTCAGCCAGACAAACTCCAGAAGCCACTCAATGATGGAAAACCAAAGCAGAGCTCAAACTAGGTTAGTGCCTTGCTGCAAATGAATTCAGCCAAGATCAGTGAACTCTCCTGGGAGTGACAGACCTCTAGTGCTCCCAGTCTGCCTTTTAAAGGGCTGATTCTTTTCCAAAAGCACAGGAAGGTTTTTTTTTTCCTTTACAAAAAAATGAAACCCCCCTGCTACGGCCTCAGTGTCACATTCTGAGGACAGCCAAGCCCAGCAGCTCTTGGTGAGGTCATTGCAGTGACTGCCACCACCTGAGGGTGTGACAAGCCCCAAAATCAAGCTCAAAGCTGAGGAAGAGCCTGTGCTTGGGGCTGGAGCATGGGCAGCAGGGCCAGCCTGTGGTTATTAATTATTATGGGGTTGTTGTGGCTCCCAGGACAAGGTGAGAATTGACTCCAAGTTCTTAGAAGGCTGATATATTATATTATATTATATTATATTATATTATATTACACTATATTATGTTATACTAGATTATATTATATTATTATATTAAAATTATACTAAAATTATATTAAAATTATATTATATGAAATATATATTATATCAAAATAATATTATATTACATGGCGTTATTATAAAATTATATTATATGATATTACAACATGATATGATATTACAATATATGATATGATATGATATTATATTGATATACTAAAACTACACTAAAGAAAGAGAAAGGAGACATCAGAAGGCAAGCAAAGAATGACAATAAAAAAAACATGACAGACTCAGAGAGCCCAACCTGGCTTTGATTGGCCATTAATTAAAAACAATTCACATGCTGGTTAACAATTCTCCAAATCACATTCCAGAGGAGCAAAACATGGAGAAGCTGGAGCTTCCCAGGAGAAGCAATGGTGGCAAAGGGATTTTTAATAAAATATGGCAGTTCCTGTCAGGGCTGTACCTCTCTGCTTGCGCAGCCGCCCCCAGTGGTGCACGCACTCCTCCCTGCGGATGCAGCTCCCCGAGGCTGACACCATGTACTCGGTGCCACAGCGACAGCAGATCCTGCACGAGGCTTGGGGACAGGAGACAAACAACAGCCAGGTCACTGCAAGCAGCCCTTCCTACCCCTCACCTGCCCAGAGCAGAGTAAATCACCATCACTCGGCCCCAAACCTTGTTAAATGATGTTTTCTCTTATAAAATATTCCAAATATTGTTGCAAACTTCTATGAAAGCACAGAAATCCCTCTGAGGCAAACACAAAGACTCTCCAGTGGCTGCCCCCAGTTCCATCGAGGTTTGCTGCATTGTTTCTCCATGCACAGCAAATTACGTTGAAGTCTAACACAGTTATTTTAAGAACAGGATAAATAAGTCATTCTTTGGACACCAGAGCTAATGAAGCCTGGTTTCCAGGGGATCTGTGCCTTGTCACTTCCAAATGACATTCTAGCCCTTCTAGGGCACAGCTTTTCTGTCAGGATTTTCCAGCAGGAGCACTTAGGGCAGGGCCTGGCAGTCTGCAACTGCTCCCTTCTACCACCTCTGCTTTTACTGCCCAAAATTTGGGGAAGGGAGATGCAAAAAGCCACTGGGAAGGCGCTATCATTCTTCTGATCTCCATGCAATTCCATGATTCCACCAAAATTCCATTTTGGTGTGAGCATTAAAGCTGTTAGCACATTCCCAGCTCTGTCCAACTGGTCACAGTGGCAGCATCACCTTTATTTAAACAAGGAGAAATTCAAAGATCCTGCAGCATCTGCAGGAAACTACAGGAACAAAACCAGGAACATGAGCTCAGGTTCATATAAAGGAGCTGGCTGGTTCCTGGGAAAAAAGGGCTCTCACAAATACAGCACTTGACAGTGTTAATGCAAGAGAGCTTTTGCCCAGGTTGCTTCAGCAACCACAGGACAAATGTAGGCACAAGGTGTTAACATGGATGAGCACTTAACACACTTTAGTGAGGTCTCTCCACACACATGCTCAGGGGAGCGTGGCAAAGCACCTCAACAGAAATCACCAGTCTGGATTTTATCCTGCTGCAGCACAGCCTGCTTTAGGTAGGGGCTGAGGAGCAGAAATCTTGAGGTCAGGCCATGAGTTCAGGCCATCAGTTCAGAAAATTCAGAGGAAGACCCCATCCTGTGGGTTGACCCAACCTGTGGGTTCAAGGCCAGGTTGGATGTGGTTTGGAGCCACCCAAACCTTCCACCACCTATCTGATGAAAGGTGCTCCAGGGGGTGGAATGAGATGGGCTTTAAAGTCCCTTCCAATCCAAACTATTTTGTGATTTTATGATCATTTTGTCCAGCTGCACAAAGGGCTCTGGGGAACTGTTTGGCCCAGAATACCATGAGATCAAATAGAAAATTCTGGAATCCAGAGCAGGACCCACTGCAAAGCCAGCCTGGCCCTGTGTCAGTCCTTATCCCACCAGAACAGCAGCTCACACAGACAGAGACAGAAAAAGTCCTTCCCCTGGGAGAGGGGAGGGTCCCCAAGTGCAGAACAGGAGCCTCTTTCCAACTGGTGAATTGCTGTTCTTTGGCAGCACAGAATCCTGGAATTGCTGAGGTTGGAAAAGACCTTTAAGATCAAATCCAACCATCAGCACCACCACCATGGTCACCACTAAACCATGTCCCCTGTGCCACATCCACACATTTTTTCAACATTTACAGGATGATGACTCCACCACTGCCCTGGGGAGCCTGTTTAATGCTTCACAACCTTTTCCACAGAGAAATTTTCCCTTATATCCAAGCTATCCACACACCTTCCCTGGTGTGACTTGAGGCTATTTCCTTTCATCCTGACACTTGTTACCTGGAAATTAGAAATTAGAAACCTCCCTCAGCCTCACAGACTATAAACTCTGGGTCAAAAATAGCATTCTGAGGATGTGAAAGCTGAAGAAACTCTCCATGCAGCAGAGCTCTGCAGCCACACTGCCCTTCCCAAGAGCACCAAGGGGCAGCTCCTGCTGTGTCCAGCAAGCCCTACAGAAGGAAAGAGGCAGCAGAACTTACAGTCAGTGACTTTCTTCTCCTCTGCAGTGTAGAGCACAGCCCGTCCAGCCTTCTCAGGGTGAGGCATGGGGTACCCATTCTCCTTGAGCTGCTCCTCAGTCATCAGGTACTCCTTGAGGCGCCGGTACAGGGCAGCTCCTGCACACAAACACACAGCTCAGCTCTCAGCACCAAAGCACTGCCTGTGTTTCTGCCTTTACAAACTCTCCTGCCTTCATAAACTGAACTTCCCCCACTATTCTGAACTTGTCTCAGCTCAGGATGGACAGGGGAATAGGTGTTGGGTGATCATTTTTAAAATCTGGCCATTATTGTACAAGTTGATTTTTAACCTCCTTGAACAAGGAGCATTAAGTCTGGAAAGCACAGCTGGAAGAGAATTCCTCCAAAAGGTCCATCTTCAGCCCTGCTGTTACTGATAGAATCAACACAATTTGGGTTGAAGGGACCTTGGAGATCATCCCATTCCACCCCTGCCATGGCAGGGACACCTCCCACTGTCCCAGGTGCTCCCAGCCCTGTCCAGCCTGGCCTTGGGCACTGCCAGGGATCCAGGGGCAGCCCCAGCTGCTCTGGGCACCCTGTGCCAGGGCCTGCCCACCCTCACAGCCACCAATTCCTTCCCAACATCCCATCCACCCATTATCCCAATATCTTATCTATCCATTCCTCATCAAGCCATTCCCCCTTGTCCTGTCACTAAACGTGAGACTTCTCCAATTTTAATGTTTAAATGCAAATATATCTGATAATTGGTAACACAGCCCTCAAATACCCCTCAAAGGCCACCCACAGCTCCCTAAAAACTTCATTATCCAAAGTTTCTTCCTGCTACTGATTTCAGGCTGCTTGTTTCATTTCACTGAATAATTATAACTTTTTGCACTCTGCTCAATATCTCCTTTGGCTGCTGCATTAAACCCTTCCAATATTCCTGGGTGCCCTTTGATGTTGCTTAGCTGAGCTATATTGGCCCTTTTAAGATTTCTCAATGTCGATTCCTTCTGCTCCATGGCCTCCCTGGCTCTCCTCTGATCTCCTCCACAATTTGCCTACATCTCTTGGCAACCAAAATACCCATAACTGATTTGAGCCCACATGAAAAACGCTCGTGGCACAACCCTTTGGCTACGATACGACCTTACTGTGACATTGGTGAGAGTGAAACTGAGCCCTGCAGAGATGGAGGTTTTTAAGTTTGCCTTTTAATCTGACAGGCACATTGTAAAGAACTGCTTCAGGGCAAGAAAGTTGAAGTAAAATAATGCCCAAAGCACAAGAGGCAGCTCTGAATGGTTATTGATGCTCCATCAAAGCCAGCCAGGCTGCAGCAGTGACCTCAGAGCCCCAGTGAGGATGGAAGGAGGGCACTGGTCAGTGGTGTCACCATCCCCCAGGGGACCCTGCAGCTCTGTGGTGCAGCCAGAGAACAGAGAAATCCCAGCAGTTCTGGTCATAAAATCCTGAATGGGAAGGGACCCACAGGGATCATTGATCCCAGCCCCTGTCCCTGCACAGCCACCCCAACACCCCCACCCTGAGCAGCCCTGGGAGCTCCTGCAGCTCTGGCAGCCTTGGCACCATTGCCTGGGCAGCCTGGGCAGTGCCCAGCAGCCTCGGGGGGCAGAACCTTGCCCTGAGCTCCATGCCAAGGCCTGGCACAGCTGCAGCCCTTGCTGGGCTCCTGTCCCTGTGCCAGAGCAGAGCTCAGCCCCTGCCCCTGTGCCTGCCCTGGGGAGGAGCTGCAGCCCCCGAGGAGCCTCCCCTCAGTCTCCTGGGCTGCAGCTGAACCAGCCAAGTGCCCTCAGCTGCTCCTCAGCCCTTCCCCAGCTCCGTGTCCCTCCTCTGGGCACTCTCCAACAGCTTTGGGTCCTTCTGATCTCGTGGTGCCCAAAGTGCCCCCAGCACTGGAGCTGAGGCTGCCCCAGGGCAGAGCAGAGTGGGACAATCCCTCCCTGGGCCTGGTGCCCCCAGCACAGGGTGGCCCTTGGGGCTGCCAGGACCCAGCAGTGACTCAGATCCAACTTGCACTGACCAGGACCCCCAGGCCCTTTCTGCAGTGCTCTGAGATGAGCCAGATCTGCTGTGATGCCTGGAACAGTTGCTGTGCACATCCCAAGGGGTGCTCCTGCCTTACAAGAGCTCAGCTTGGGCACCTTGGTCTGGTTCTCTGGCTGTCTGCTGATTTCCAGGACATCTGGGTCCTGTTTGGCTTTGGGATTTGCTGCTGAATTTCTTTTTTCCTCAGCCCCTTCCCCAGCTCCAAGTCCCTCCTCTGGACACTCTCCAACAGCTTTAGATCCTTCTGGCAGTGTGGTGCCCAAAGTGTCCCCACAACCTGAGGTGAATGCAGCATCCTGATCCTGATCCTGCCCCCCCAGTCAGTGTCACAGCTCAGCCCCCCTCAGCAGTGGCAGCCCAGCAGGAGCAGCTCTGACCTGTCAGATCCTCGGCTCTCAGGCTCCCTGAGCGGTTCAGGGTGAAGCTGGTCTTGGCAGCAAGCTTCCCTCCCAGCACAGCCTCGTGGGACACCACCTTCTTGTTGCTTGTCTCTGCAAGGAGAGGGAACAGCAGAGGGGGACAGAGATCAGGTGACTTCAGTCCCAGTTTGGGACACTACACATGGGCAAAAGGACAGTTCTGTTTATTCTCTTTAACTCTTGTTTTGCTCCAGAAATGGATTCTTTGTGCCACATGCTGGCCCAGCATTTCCATCCCAGCACCACAGAGAGTATTCTGTTCACACTGTCAGCCCACAGCAATTTTAAGGGCAGCAAAGACACTTTTCCAGTTCTGCTAGAAACTTGTAGCTCTCCCAGCTCACTCTGCACAGCAAGCCCTCTGACTGACCAGAAGAGAGGAGCCAGCACAGAAACAACTTGACCCCTTCATGTGCTGTGTGAGGGCATCACCCACCCTCAGGAAGCAGCTTTGATTCTGAGGCCCTGCAGACCAACCTCCCACACAGGATCCTTCAGCTTCTTTCAGAAAGGAGCTTCAGAGCTCTAGAATATGCTCAACACATCAGACAATGGCAGAGAGGGGCTTTTTACTAATCATTAACTGGCAGCCCTCTGTTAAAGGCCAGCCTCCAAGTTCAGCTGCTCTGCCTAATAGCCAGGAACGTAATGAAGACAGAGGGGAGAAAAGGGAAGAGACCAAAGAAAAAAAAATTCACAAGAACAGCATAAATTGATTGTTTAATGTACCCTCTTGAGAGCCAATAATGAAATGTCTTAACCCTCTTCGTTTCTCTCTTGAAGCTTAATGTGTGTAACAGATTTCTGTGGTGATGGACGAGTCTATCACTTTGAAGACATCATGTGAAAGTTACTCCATTAGCAGGGCTTTTCATTTGAAAGAACTTGTGCTAAAAAAAACCCCACCCATGTGGCATTATCTCCATTTAGGCTGAGAAAGCCAACAAAGCACTGCAGGACCTGCCTCTTGAAGGCCCATTAAGGCTTGCCAGGCTATAAAAAGCTTAAACTGGAGCTGTTTGCCTTTCAGCATAATGCTGCTGAGAAATGGGTTCTGGCCTTTTGAAACAAGTTTCTCTGTGAGGTTTGTAATCCCAGCAGGGCTGCAGCTGTTCAGCTGCAGGGTTGGTACCTACTGTTGGTGCTGGCTGGGGAGTTGGGCACGAGGCTGCGGAGCTTCTTCAGGGTGTTCACAGCCACATTCAGGTAGATGTTGCGGCTGGTGCTGCGCTCATAGGCCACCTTCTCCTCTGCCAGGGCCTGGGAACAGCACAAATCATCACCACACACCCCCTTCACTGCTCACAGAACCCCAGAATGGTTTGGGATGGGAGGTGATGAGGTCTCTGGTGTCCAGATGACCCCAAGGTGTTGGAAAGTCTCTTTTTCCCAGCCCCGGGATAGAAGAAGGCAGCAGAATTCCTTGGCTCTGGTTCCCAAGGTTGTTTATTGTGACCATGGTCACAGGGGTTCTTGGATGAGGAAAGAGATGAGAATGTTGACTCCATGTTCAGAAGGCTTGATTTACTGTTTTATGATATATATATATTACATTATAACTATACTAAAGAGAAATAGAAAGGAAGGGTTTCCTCAGAAGCTGGCTAAGCTAAGCTAAGCTAAACTAAGAATATAATAGAATAGAATAGAATAGACTAGACTAGACTAGAATAGAATAGAATGATAACAAAGCCAGCTCTCTCAGACTCTGTCCGAGATAGCTCGGTCCTTGATTGGCCATTAATTATAAACATCCAAGATGGCCCAATCCAAAATCCACCTGTTGCATTCCACAGCAGCAGATAACCATTGTTTACATTCTTTTTCTGGGGCATCAGCTTCCCAGAAGGGAAAATCCTAAAGAAAGGATTTTTAGTGAAAAAGATGTCTGCGAAAGTTTATTTGTACTTATCTAATATATTGTCTGTCTGACCTGCTGAGGTCTGTCTGGCAGGTCAGGTTGTGGCACACTGACCACCCTCAGGGCAGTGTTATCTTTTTATACTAAAAACTACCTGTACTTTATTTACAATAATTTTCCAATACCTATCACCTATGTTAGACAGTCTGTCTCTACTCTAAACCAACCCAAAAGTGCCACCATCACAGCAGAAGATGGAGGACAAGAAGAAGGAGAAGAAGGACAGGACATGCCCAGATTCCTCCATCTTGCCTCTTGAACCTCCATTCTAAAAACCCCAAAATTCTACCTTTCCACCCTGTGGTAAATTCACTATCATTCTACTCAAACCCTTGTGGCTTGTAACTCTTCACACAAAGTTGGGAATTGTTTCCATGGGCTAAAATCAAAGGCACAGGTGTTTGTGACTCCATGCCAAGGTCTCTGAGCCCCCTGCCAGGGTCTGGAGTGCTCCAGGGCAGCCAGAGGAATGTCCTGGGTTCTGACAGGGAGGAACTTCAAAAATCACTTTTTTCCACCTTCCACTACCCCAGGTTGTTTCAAGCCCCATCCAACCTGGCCTTGAACCCTTCCAGGGATGGGGCAGCCACACTTCCATGGCTTCTGGAGAAAAGAAATGTTTGGTTTTTAAATACAGACTCCAAGCAGTGATGCCTCAGGTTTGAGCTTTTCTATTTTTCACATTCTGTGCTGCTTTAGTGGGTGGGTCTGGGTTCATATTATGGGATGGTGAGCTCTGTGCACAGAGCAGGGAGACAAAACAATTCCTGCTCCAGCTGGGGACCAAGGACAAATGATCCAAATCTCAGCCCAAGAGCACAAACAACGTGGGCTGGAGAGAGAAAAACAAGCAGGATGGGACTGCATGGGCTGGGGCTGGAATTGGACAATTAACTGCAATATGCAAATAGAGCAGAACTTATAAAATTGAGAGCCCCCATGACTGGTCATGCATTTTGTGACCATGTTGGTTCATCTTGGGTGTAGGCCTGGCTGGGCTCTTGTGCTGCCCAAGGTGGATCCATTGAGGCCTCTTAATAAATCCCTGCTTTATTCTTTAGCTCCATCTAGTCTCTGTTCTAGTTCAGCCTTCACAAGGCATCATTAGGACCACGAAAAAATAAAACATTGCCTGACAAGGAATTAAGTAATAAAGCAGAATATGGCACCAATATTTGCTCAGGTAAGTAATAGGAAAAAAAATTAATTTTATTTTAAACAAAGTGCTGGAAAAAGCACTTCCATGTGAAAATTTCCTGAAGAGATTAATAAAACTTTCCTACTTAGCAAAAAAAAAAAAAAAATTCAAACTTTAACATATTTTAAATTGGTATCATCCCTTTTCTTTTCCCCCAGTATAAAGTCTGCTGCCACCTTGGTTGAAGTATTCCAGAGCTGCACTTGCTCCCAGGAATATCTAACCTTGCCATGTTTTCATCAAGCAATTCTTGATTCTTGCTCTTAGAACTGCCTGGGCAAGGCTGCTTTCCCCACTTTGGGGCAGTGCAAGATCTTAACTGGTAAGAAAAGGAGGTTTGGCAAAGGGTGACTCCTGGGGAAGGTGGAATCCCACAGCAGAAATCCTCATGGTGTCTGCTTTGTTTCAGAACACACCACACAATGCCCCACATTTACCCAACTAACAACCAAGCTTTTCCAAGAAAATGTATTACTCTCTCCACTCTGCTGCTGGAAATCCTACTGTACTGCCCCTACTGCTAGAAAACTCCTTAAAAAGTCTCCTTAACAGCCTTCAGAAACAGCAAGGATCCAATTCCCAACCAATTCCACCTATCCCAAACACTTCCCTGGGCTCAACACTGATGCCAGGAGGTGCTTCTGGCTGCACCAGAGCAGAAGCTCTTGGACCACAATGAACATTCCTCTGTTTTCCTCTCCTGGGGTTATTAAAGGGCTCAGGCAAGATTTCCAAATGAAGGGAAAGATGGGATTTCCTACTGGAAGCCCCCACTGGAATGACACTTGCTGTTGTCCATTGTGGTGATATTTAATGCCAGTTGTGGATAGGGGAATCTTCAGGGAATCAGGGAATGGTCTGGCTTGGAAGGGACCTTAAGATCATCGAGCTCCCACCCTCAAGTTTCTGCAAGCATAAATGCAATTCAGTTTTCTGGATTTGCTACCATTTTAGAAGGTTTTTGTCGCAGACATCTTTCATGGAAAATCCTTTCCTCCTGAGAAGCTGAGAGGCCTTCAGGAACAAAATGTAAACATTGATTATCTGCTGCTGTGGAATGCAACAGGTGGATCTGTGATTGGCCCATGTTGGATGTTTGTAATTAATGGGCAATCACAATCAGCTGGCTTGGACTCTCTGTTATCATTCTTTGCTATTCTATTTTTAGCCAGCCTTCTGATGAAATCCTTTCTTCTACTATATTAGTATAGTTTTAATATAATATATATTTTATTATATATTTCTATAATAAAATATAAATTATATGAATATCATATTAATATGTTTATATATATAGTTTTAATATTATATATATAATATAAAATATATATTATAGAAGAATATATATTATATAATATATATTATATACATTATATACAATATTAATATATAATATATTATATGTTAATATATTATATATTATATATAGTACATATTTTATTTATATATATATATATATATATATATATATAAAATAATAAATTAAGCCTTCTGAAACATGGAGTCAGATCCTCATCTCTTCCCTCATATAAGAACCCCTGTGAACACCATCACAGGTTTTGGCCAAGGCAGAGGATGCCATTCCCTGCTGCAAACATTACTCCTGAGAAGCAGGGATGTGTACAGACCTTGTCAAAGGCTTCCTGGGAGGAGGAGCAGAATTTCAGGCACTCATCAATGAAGAGATTGAGATACCTCTGACGAATGTTGGTTGGGACTTTAGCACCAAACTCTGTGGGAATAACAGGCCTCTGTAAAGTGGTGCTCTGGAGGTGAGACAGAGAGAGAAAGAGGCTGGTCAGGCTCCAGGAGGTTGCTCTGAGGCTCTCCCACTTCCTGTTATTAATCATGGGGTGACTTCCTTTTTGAAAATCTGCCCAAAGCCAAACTTAACACGCAGCACTTTTGGTACTGAAAATACCACTTGAGGCTTCACTACCTTCAGTAAGTCCTTCAAAACCAGCTGTATTTCACTCTAAGTCAGCCAGGAGCCAGGGACTCCAGGGGCATTAGTCACACACAGCATTCCAGAGCAGGGCATGCTGACATTTCCACTGAGAGGGGCAAGGTGAGGATGGCACAGAGCACCACTGGAGCCATGAACACACACCACAGTTATGGGCACCACACACAGGTTTGGTGCTCTGGCTGTGAAAAGAGAACAGGAGGCCCCACCTATCCCACCCCCATTCCTGGGGCATTCCTGCAAATTGATTGCATTAGGGGTTTTCTTCCATTTTTAATGCCAATCATGATGTTCCTAAAAGGATTTACCCCTTCAATTTAATGGCATGTTCTTCAAAAGCTGCATGTTGGGCTGAGCTGTGACCCACCACTGCAGCTTTCCATTTCACACCAGTTTATCCCCCCATCACAGCACACTGGCCTCTTTTCCAGAGAGGAAAATGTTCATTCATCTCTAAACATCCAATTGTTTTGTCAGTTGTCCTCCATCCCACCCAAGAGATATCCATTAACCAAGCCATCTGCTGCAATCTGGAATGAAAACAGCTCTGTGGAAGGTGTGAGGTTGTTCCAAGGGGAGCAACTGCTCCTATCTCAATGGGAAAAGTGTTCTTTTTCCCCAGGAGACTCTCACCTTGATACCCTGTTCAAAGGGATTTGGTCTTTTTCATTAAATATATAAATTCTCAATCTCTAATATTATACCCTTAACCACCTCTGTAACTCTGCTAGATATTTTATCCTTTCAGTTATTTCTCTTATTTTTAATCAGCTTCAAGTGCTACGTTACTATGGTGGCAGTTTGGGTGGGAAAGGAAAAAAATTACTTTTCACTCTTCTAGAAATAATCAGAGCAAGTTATGACAGATCTTGACACAAACTATCATCAATAAAGGGATTTTTAATGAAGTCCTGGCACTACCCAGTTCTGCTCCTTATGCCATCCCCAGGCTGCTCCAGGAGGAATTCTGCTCTCAGATGTCTTAGCAAATAACAGATTCCCAATGCTCATGGAAAGGAGGGAACTTTATAGAATCCCAGAAAGGTTTGGGTGGGAAGGGGCTCTAAAAATCATCCCATTCCACCCCTGCCATGGCAGGGACACCTTCCACTGTCCCAGGTTCCTCCAAGCCCTGCCCAGCCTGGCCTTGGGCACTGCCAGGGATCCAGGGGCAGCCCCAGCTGCTCTGGGCACCCTGTGCCAGGGGCTGCCCACCCTCACAGCCACCAATTCCTTCCCAATATCCCATCTAACCCTGGTCTCTGGCAATGCTCTCTCCCTGTGTCCTCTCACTTTGCTTAGGAACTCACAGCAAAGGCACCCAAAGGCTGGGCAGAGATCCCAGGGGATAAAGAGAAACAAAACAAAAGCAACTAACAAAGACAAAATAGTCTTTTCTTTAAACACCAGCAGCAGCATGAAATTCAGTGCTCACATTTTACTATCTAGGTCACAGAGGGACATTATTCATATCCACCAGTGTGGCCCACAGAGCCTGGTAAGGCCATGAATCCATCCCTGGCTTGTGAGCACAGGAGGTTCTAAGCCCCTGACCCAAACACACCCAGGCCAGTCAGCACAAGAGAAGGCTCAAATTGGAGACAAATGATCAATATTCACAAAGATCAGAGCAGCATTTAAGTATTTCTACCTTTTTAAGCTCCTACCACTTGAGTGTTTAATTTTTTATACAATGCTATCTAGGAAAACCACAGGAAGAAACAAACCCACTCAATCAACATAATCAAAACACCACTCTCAGGGAGTGCTAAGTTTGGAACAGCAGGATCAAACATTCCACCCTCCCTGGGGAATGACAGGAAAGAATTCAAACTCCCCTTACCTGTAAGGAGGGAACATGTGCTACCCTTTTGGGCACGATGGTGCTGGTGGTCTTGGAAGCCATCCCAGCCAAAGTGCAAGGCTTCAGAGGAAGGGTGGAGGCTTCAGAGTCATTGGAAGGTGTGACACTCCTGCCACCAACAGCTGCCTTGCTGCTCCCAAGGCCTGCAGGGAACACAAAACACTCAGGGACCAATCCTGCCACTGGGCTCCAGGCTGCCAGAATGAACTCACTATCAAAGGCCAGTACTGCAAGCTGTGATTTTCTCAAATCCAGGTCTCCAAAGGGACACAAATTGGGCAATTTTACCACCTTGCAGGCAAGGATGAAGAAATCATCTGCCAGGACACGTGTCTCATTTGGGTTTGTTTGGGGTGACTGAGTCAGCAGAGTTTAAAGAGGTAACTCTGGCAGCTGGAGGCACTGACACCCCACACTCAGCTCTGAGTCCTTCCACCACAAAGGCTCAGCAATGAGCCTTCATTAGCACTTCCCTCCTGCTCTGCCCCCTCCAGGCTTCAATGGAAGAGGGAATGAAGAGCAAACGCAATCCAAGGAAGGAACAGAAAAAGGAGAGGCTGAAGTGAGGGAGGTTGGGTGAGACACATCAGGCTGGACACGTCTGACCTGCTGCTTTTCACAACAGGGTGGAATTTCTCAGGCAAAGACCTTCCACTGGACGCTACCAGCAGAGATTCGAGTCATGGCCAGTCCTACACATCCCCTGACAGTTTCACACGTGCTCAGGAGAAATATAAACAGGGTAGAGCCTTTAACCAGGGGGAGGACAGGACAGCGACCCCAAATCCCACCGCTGCCTTACTTTGCTTGGCCGCTGCGGTGAGGGCTGCATTTGGCACGTGAGCAATCCTCCTCTTTTCTCCTGGCAAACAGAGAGAGGTCTTTTGAGCAGCCCCAACCAGCTGTGCTGCCTGCTGCTGAGCCAGCTGGATCCTCTGGTAACACACCTCCTGGGCCGTGGGAGGACGGTAGGGCCGCACCACCGGCTTGCTCGGGGTCTCTGCCTGCACACACAAACAGCATTTAGGGCCAGCAGCTCCCCTGCTCCATCCACACCCCCCAGAAAGGTCTCTTCTCCTCAAGCCCTCTGTTAGTTTTGAGAGGACAACATCCCAAGTGTGTTCCAGAATGAAATAATTAAGAGTCATCCTTTAACAAGCATGGCATTAATGATTCATGCTCTGGGAAGGCCTCCCAGCTCACTGGCACGTTCCTCAATTCATGAGCTGCTTTCAGTGGCTGTGCCCAGCCCAGTCCTGGGCTCTATCAACACCCTCAGCCTTGTCCTAACACACAGATCCTGGGCTGCCTACTTTGCTTTTTACAGCAATAAAAAGGTGACACCAATTCTCCAGTCCTCTTTGCCACAGGACACTGAGCTCCACAGCTCCCTCCCTGAGGACACCTGCACCCACCTCTGCACCACAGAAGCTCCCACCTCTCTGCAGCCCTGGAACTGCTTAAAAGCCTCACAGAGAAGTATTTATGGCATCAGAGCATTACATAAACTGATTTTCTGAATTTCAAACAGGCTCTGTCCCTGCCCACTTCTGGAGGCACCTCAGTTACAGCACCAACAGGTTCCACACGAGCTTCCTTTGATGGCCAAATTTAGGTTTGCAGGAAAAGTGCCAGAAATTATGTCAGCAAAGAGAGAAGTTTCCTAGCAGCAGAAGTGCAAGAGAAGCAGCAGTAGTACAAACTTCTCCCTCTACTTCAAAGCCTTTGAAATGTGAGGAACAGGCCTTGAATATCCTTGGAGGAGGGTGGCCCAGTGAAACACCTGGGGGCAAAGCTGGCACCTCCTGCATTCCCGGCCTCTGATGCTGACAGCAGCTTCTGGATACCAAACTGGGTGCAGTCAGACATTAAATTATAATTACAGACTTCCAAGCAGCACAGGCCACTCATTTTCTGCCTCACCTGCAATTCCTTTGGCCCCCATTTCCCTTGGCAACCAACCCTGAACTCGCTCCCTCTCCTCCTCCTGCTCAGTCCCTGAGCCATAAATCATGAGCAAGACTGAGCAAATATTCCACTTGGAGGGACACAGCAAGGCACGTTCTGAGGTGAAAAGTGGCAGCTGAGGTGTTCCAGCACCTCCCGGGCAGAGCTCTGAGCTGACAAACTCCAGGGAATTCAGGTCCTGGAGCTGAGCACACCAGGTCAGCTCTGTTTGCCCAAGCAAAGGTTTTGCTGAGGCTCCCATCTTTGGAAAGCATTTTGGGATCAGCTGTCACATTAAGAAAATATATTTGAAGGTTTGTACATGTCTAAAAGGTGCCTCTTTGCAATAAATATTTGAGTTAATGAATTTCCAAGCCATTTGCTTCAGTCTCTTATCTCTTCACTTTGGAAGAAAGGGCCCTTATCAAACCACATGAACTGGCTGGAGATATGTAGTTAAATAAAACCCATTGTATTGACCCCAGGGCTTCAAATTATTAAAGGCAAAAAAAATCCTTCCTAGGCAGAGAGGAAAGGCAGAACAATTAATTTGGACTACCCAGCTCAAATTAGTGCACAAGCCTCCACTCTTATCCTGCTGCAACATAAAACTAATCTGAGATCAGCACCTGGAGGGAAACACATTAAACCCTCAGAGAAAACATGAATTAAAATCCCAGGGAGAAAGGAATAAAAAAATCAGAATTTTTTGCTTCTTCTTTGCTTGTTTTTTTTTGATTTTGTTTTAATTTTTCTCTTCTGTATTTGTACAATTGGGAAAAAAGAGTATCCAAACAAATACTGCTGAGATGTTGGCTGATTCAGAGCAGATGTAAGGTAATGGTTTTAAACATCTGACCAAATTCCTGTAGTATCTTTTAGATCCACAAGGCACAGAAAAATACCAGCAGATACAAAGTGACCTTGTGTGCAGTTAATTTTTATTGAAATCTCTAAATTAAGCTATACTGGAGAAAAATGAACACCCCAACCTATCCCTTGGTAACCCAAGGGTTACCAAGAGCACAATCCACTCACTCTTCCCAGCCTAACCTTGGTTTCAGGAAGGTTTTTTGTTTTGCTGCCACTTTTAACAGATCCTAAACATGGAAGATTTTTGAGGAATTGGAAAGAGAGGAAATAAAACAGCCATAGATTGATTCCAGCACAAACAGCTCTCCCACTGCTGCCTGGCCCTGGGAGTGCAGCCTTTGCCAGGGTCAGGACAGAAAATCCTCACTTGGAACAACCTAAACTCATCTGCTTCTAATCTGCTTTTAAATCTGCACTTACATTTCCTTGTTTGACAAGATGAGAGATCCTTCTTTTTTGGCCAGGAAACAAGGTAGTTAAATTATCTTCTGTCTTTTCTTCATTTCCCTCCTCTTTGGACGGCTGGAAAACAAAAGAACAGGAGAACAGACTTGAAGATGCCTCACAAGAGGGAGATGTGGAAATTCTCCTTTTGGGTTAACCTTGCAGAGGAGAGGTGGGAACACGTGGCCAGTGACAAGAACCTTCCAGAAGCCACCAAGGAACAGCAGCAGGACATTCCCAGGCCAGCAGCAGCTCCATGAGCTGGCATGGGGCAGGATCAGCCTTACCTGGCACAGGAGCCTTGACCAGCCCTCCCCTGGCAGCCACTCACACTCCTCACCTCCCATGGCATTTTCAGAGTCCAGGGTGGTTGGGGTGGATTGGTTTTTAAGAAGTTGGGAACTGACTCATTCTGCCCTGGGCAGTGCTGACACCTGCTCAACACCAAACCATGATGCCCTCACCCCACATTTAGGGAAATATTTCCTGCAGGCTCAGGCACAGCTGTCACTGCAGGAAGACTCTGGTGACACAGTGCAGGTCACATCCAGACACTCAGCAGGAGGCAGAAACACCTCTCCAGCCAAAGCTACTCCAAGCTGACACCTCAGAGCTGCTCCTGGACAAGGAGAACACTTGGAAATCTGCTTGAAATTCGACTCAGTTGTTAATTGATAGAAACTTGTTAAGTGTTTTGCTTCTCAAAACCCCAGCTGCTCTCCAGACAATCTTGGTTTGAGTTTCTCAAAACAACTCCTGGCAAAACTCTGACATGAGCCTGACAATCTCTGAAATTCAGCAAGAGAGCCAAGGCTGGATTTAGGGATGAGCTTGGGCACCACTTGGGACAAGCCTGTGTTCATCACCACAAGGGCACCCTGAATCACTTGATTCCCCAGGAACCCCAGGGTTTGTTAATTCACTTCCACCCCTAATAAACTCTCACAATGCAATTCTGCCAGGCAGAAATCACTGCACTGCCACGTGCAGCTCCTGCAATCACCAACCCTGGAGCATCCTGAGCTGGGAGGGACCCTCAGGGATCATTGATCCCAGCCCCTGTCCCTCCACAGCCACCCCAACACCCCCACCCAGAGCACCCCTGGGAGCTCCTGCAGCTCTGGCAGCCTTGGCACCATTGCCTGGGCAGCCTGGGCAGTGCCCAGCAGCCTCGGGGGGAAGAACCTTGCCCTGAGCTCCATGCCAAGCCCTGGCACATTACTGAGCCCAAACAACACAGGGTTGTGTTGGTTTTGCACAGCCTGGTGTTTGGTAGTGGGGGGATCTGCTGGAAGTTTCCACCATGCCCAGCAGAGGCAATCCCTCATGGCTCTGAAGATGGACAGGCTGCTGGTCAAGGCTGGGCCAATTAAAGGAGACGGGAACACCTCCGTGATAACAGATTTAAGAAGAAAATCAAAATAAAGCGAGGCATGCAGTTTTAATTCCAGCTAGAGAAAAGGAGGTGAGAACATGTAAGGGAAACAATGTGGAGACACCAAGGTCAGTGGAGGAGGGGCAGGAGGTGCTGCAGGCACCAGGGAGCTGAGATTCCTCTGCAGGCTGTGGTGATGACCATGGTGAGGCAGCTGTGCCCCTGCAGCCTGTGAGGATCCATGGGGGATGCAAAGATCCACTCTCAGCCCTTGGGGATCCACGGGGATGCAGAGATCCACCCACAGTCCATGGGATCCACAGGGGATGCAGAGATCCACCCATAGCCCATGTGGGTCCATGGAGGATGCAGAGATCCACTCTCAGCCTGTGGGGATCCACAGGGAATGCAGAAATCCATGGGGGATACAGAGATCACCCCCTTGGGGATCCATGGGGGATGCACAGATGCACTCACAGCCCATGGGGGATGCAGAGATCCACTCATAGCCCATGGGTGAGGTGCCCATGCTGGAGCAGTTGATGCCTGGAGGGGGCTGTGATCCAATGGGAGACCCAGTGGAGAGAGAGGGGCTCTGCTTCCAGGCTGGAGCAGCCTGGCCTTGGATGACTGCACCCATGGCACAGCAGCTTTGGGGGGGCTGTGTGCCCTTGGCAGGGCTGTGTGCCCATGGAAGGGACTCACATTGCAGGGGTTTTGGGGGGCTGTGTGCCCATGGCAGGGCTGTGTGCCCATGGAAGGGGCTCACATTGCAGCAGTTTGGGGGTCTGTGTGCCCATGGACGGGACTCACATTGCAGCAGTTTGGGGGGCTGTGTGCCCATGGAAGGGACTCACATTGCAGGGGTTTTGAGGGGCTGTGTGCCCATGGAAGGGGCTCACACTGCAGCAGTTTTGGGGGGCTGTGTGCTCATGGAAGGGACTCACACTGCAGCAGTTTTGGGGGGGCTGCTGCTCGTGACACTGGACCCACACTGGAGTTCATGGAGAGCTGTCTCCCCTGGGAGGGGCCCCACAGTCTCACAGGGGAAGGACTGCTCTCCCAGAGCAGTGGAAGAAAATCTCACTGATGAACTGACCAAAGCCCCATGGCCTCTCTCCCTGCACTGTCTGTGGGAAGGAGGGAAGGGCTGAGGTGGAAAAAGCTGTTTTAAGGGCCTGTTTTACTTCTCATTAGATTCTGATTTTGTTAGCAATAAACTCACTTTGTACCTCTAAGCTGAGCCCTTAGAGTGTTCTCTCCTGGTCCTGATCTCAACTCATGAACCCTTGGTCTGAATTTTTTCTCTCCTCTGTGCAGCAGGGGAGGGCAAGTGAGTGACTTCCATGGGTGCCTGGTGTTTGGCCAGTGTCAAACCACAATGGATCCACCCAGGAAATCACTCCACAAAAAAAAACAATGTCCCATGACCAATCCCACCCAGACACCCATGTCCCAAAGAAGGATCCCTGTGCTGCAGTGAGACTCCTTCCCCAAGAGCAGGAAACCAAACCTCAGCACAGGGATGCAAAGGAGCCACATGTAGCTGAGTTTTGTCACTCCAGGCCACAATTAACTGTTTGCTGTGAGTGGCAGCCCCTGGTTCAGCACTTTCTGAATTCACTGATCAGTAATTCTTGCTACACATCATGTGCCCTTCAATTATTTTCTTGTTATGTAAATACTGTCCTCTTTATCTCCTTAGTCTGAAGCCTCTGGTACCATTGGAAGAAATTTTACCTTCAATTTTTTGCTTGCACCACCCACAAGGTATCCAGAGATCCTGAGGAACTACCTGTAGTATGCATTTAGAATAGGAAAGATGAGTTTGAGGAGTGTCTGACAAATACTGGACTTACTTGCACCAACACCCTGTCCAGGTTCTACCTGCCCCCATGTTCCTTAAACTCTGCTGCAAGAAGAAGGCAGTGCCCAGGCTGGCAACCTTAGATTGGCATTGAAAACCCCCAAACTCACTCCCTGCAGCCTTTTCTCCAGCCATTCACACCCACAAGGTTCCCAGGCCAGATGGAGGCAGAAGTAATTGATAACTCTGAAAGCCTCCCACACAAGAAGGGATTGAAGCCTCACATTTCACAGCAGCTTTGAATCCAACAGGTAAATTCAGGAGCAAACACTTCCAGGCACTCAGTCACGACAAGGAAGAGATTCTGCCAACACATGGAGTCTCCCTCTTCAGCTACTTGAGATAAGCAGCACCACTAAACCAAACCAGAATCCTTCCACCTTTGGAGGGGAGAGAACCAACACCCCCAACCCAGCATTACCTGCTTGCCCAGCCTTCCCTTGTCTTCAGTTTTCACATCTTTAGATTCATTAAAGATCCTGAGACACTCCTCCATGGGATCTGACTCAAAGTCCACATCTTTCTCAAGGATGGAATAATCAATGTCATCAGATGTTGAGGAGGATGATGAGGATTTGGACAGCTTGGAGCGCTTTGCTTTCTTTGTCCTGTCCCTGTCACTGTCAGAGGCTGAGCCAGAGTCAGCCCCATCCAAGTCTGAGCTCACATCAAGCCGTGAGGAGGACAAAGGCCGGCCTCTGTCATCCTCATCTCCACTCTCATCCCCAAACAGGTCCACGTGACTCAAACTCTGCTGCTTCCGACCCTTCTTGGGGTCCCCTTGTCCTGCACAAGTGACCTTGTCCTTCTTTCTCTCCAGGGAGCTCTTGGTCCCTTTCTCCTTGTTTTTACGACCAGAGCTTTCCTTGCCATTTTTCACATCAGCAGTTTTGCTCTGAGGATCCTTCTTGCTGCTCCCCACTTTCTCTGTGCCCTTGGTGACACCCTCACTCCTGCTTTTCCCTGAACTGCTGCTGCTGGACTTGGATTTTTCTTTCTTACACCCATCCATTTTTTCTGACTTGTGTTTTTCAGGTTTTTTCAAGTTCCCATCGGTTTTCACTTTGATGCTTTTGTCTTTGCAGTTTTTCTCTTCATGCTTGGTTTTTAATTTTTCTTCTTTCTTGAGCATTTTGTCTTTGTCTGCATTTTTATTTTTCTCCTTCTTCCCAGCCTCACTGAGGCCTGCTGCTTTACTAACATCAATTTTCTTCTTTTTTGTTTTGTCTTTGGATTCTTTGTTTTTATTTTCAATTTCCTTGCTGTTCTTACCAGAACACAACTTCGCTGCCTTTGAGCTCTTGTCTGATGAGTTCTTGGCAAGGTTTTTCTGTGAATTTGGAAGGTCCTCCCTGTGCTGTGCTGCTTCTTTGCTCCCCTGGGAAGCAGAGCCTTCCAATTTTGTGCTCTGCTCTTTGCTGGAGGACTCATTTGACTCACTCTCTGAACCAGCTTTTGAGGGTGAGCTACCAGAAGCTGTTTTATATTCCACCTCAGCCTCATCTTCAGAGGAGGAGAACCTGGCCAACACCTCATCATCATCAGCATCTTCACAGAGCTTCTTCCTTGATGGAGAGTAGGAATCCTCATAATCAGAGGCTCTGTCCCTTTTGGACCCCTTGGTTGTGCCTTTGCCCAGCAGCCTGGCAGAGTAATTGGAAAGGGGGTCATATTCCAAGTCTGTGGAAGGCTTGGAGTCATCAATCACATATTTGTTGTTGGTGACAGTGCTGCTGTATTTTTTATTCTGCACCACAGCCTTGGGGATGTACTCCAGCGAGCTGCCCTTGGAGCGGGAGGAATCCAAAGTGTATTTACTGGAGCGGGCAGCAGCAGCCAGAGGAGTGGGGTTGTAATCTGAGTTATTATTGAAGTTGTAGCTCCCTGGATTGTACTCCAAGGAGGCAAAGGAATCACTCTGAGGCCCAGCAGCTGACACAGGTGTGTTTGAAATGAGTGAGGAGCCCTCTGAAGCACCAAACTCCTTCGTGGTTTCCAGCAGCTCCTCGTACTTCTTCTGCTCCCTCTCCACTTCGTTCTTCACTGCCTCAATGGCCTTGTTGACCAGCTCCAGCTCCAGAATTCCAGGTGTGACATCTGTGATGTCAGCCAGAAAGCCATCCTCCACCTCCAGGGAGGGCCTGGGCAGCTCAGGGTTGTAGGGATCATAGCCTCGCTCTGAAAAGAGGAAAAAATCATTTACTGCCAGCAATTCAAGTAAATGTTAAAATGAGATCTTTTTAAGGTGTGTTTTGATCAAACCCCAACAGTGAATGACACAACCAAAAGCCACATTCTTACACCACAGAATAAATACCAAAAGCCACCAGTGATGTTCTCTGGCCTAGACGAAACCAGATTGTAAAACTTACTCCCAGGACTAAAGATCTGTTAACAAAGTGCTTTTAAGACTCATGGAAAAGCTCTTACAGCTCTATGAATTAAATATTCTTCAGGGCACCAAAGAATAATCCCCTGTATTAGGAGCTGACTGTGCACAGAACTATCTGCTAAATTCAGTGAAGTCACCAAGAAGAGGAGAAGTGAGAAACTGTGGATTAGGTTCTCACCTCCCAATGCCAACACCTAAAGCCACCAAAAGCCTCAAGGCTCAGAGATTCTTATGGCAGCTGCAGGAAAACCACTCTGATCTCAACTGACAAAACTGAGAGCTGCTGGTAGGAAGGAAAAACTTCAACAGGCAACACAACCCAACCACTCAGAGCAGCCACCAAGACAAGAACACTGAACACCCAAAATATTTCCCTTTCCCACATTCCCCTTTCCAGAAAAGTCCCTTTGATGGCCTCTCTTCCACATCCAGCCTGGACAAGAGAAGGCTCCAGGGACACCTCAGAGCCCCTTTTGGGGCCTGAAGGGGCTCCAGGAGAGCTGCAGAGGGACTGGGGACAAGGCCTGCAGGGACAGGACACAGGGAATGGCTCCCACTGCCACAGGGCAGGGCTGGGTGGGAGATTGGGAATCAGGAATTGTGGAATCCATCCCTGGAATGGATTTCCCAGAGCAGCTGGGGCTGCCCCTGGATCCCTGGCAGTGCCCAAGGCCGGGCTGGACAGGGCTGGGAGCACCTGGGACAGTGGGAGGTGTCCCTGCCATGGCAGGGGTGGCACTGGGTGGGCTTGAACAAAGCATAAAGCACAAACCATTCTGTGATTGTGTGGAATCCTTTCAATCCCCAGCTGTGCTCAGGGGGCTCCCAGGTGTGGCTGTGGCTGCAGGGCCAGGGAGGAGCTGCCTCTGCCTGGGGAGCTCCCTGGGCTGGGCTGAGCAGGCAGAGGGGTCAGTGGCACTGTGTTTGTGTCCCAGTGGAAGGACACGACTCCAGTGAGGATGCCAGAGCCTGCATGGAGCTGATGGTGTGGAAGATCAGAGAGGCTGCCCCTGGATCCCTGGCAGTGCCCAAGGCCAGGTTGGATGGACTTAGAGCACTCTGGGATGGTGGAAGCTGTCCCTGCCCATGGTGGGGAGTGGCACTGGATGATTTTAAAGTCTCTCCCAACCCACACCATTCCAGGACTCAATGACAGAAGCTTCAGGAACATTAACAGCTGCTTTTTGACTCTGAACTGTTTTCAATCCTTGTTTTATCTCAGCATCTCTGGATGCTGACATTCCAGAGGAGCTTTTTGTTCTCTGCTACAAGGACAGTACAAAACTGGCTCTCCAACATGGATATGCATAAGAACCAAACAAAAAGCAAAGAGAAAGAAAACAGTAAATTAAAAACCTCTCAGGTCTAAGAGAGATGAGAGAATTTCTCATAACAGTCAGAGTCAAAAGAGCTGTTTCTACCATTCTCGTAAGACTGAGGGGTTTGGTGGTTTTTTTGGGGGGGTAGGGGTAGTTTTGGGGGTTTTTAGAGAGGATACATAAATGCAAAGCTTCCTTTGGCAACAGGAAAAGGATCTCTCCAGCAGTTGGCAGAAGTGGCCCCCAAGGAAGCAGAATGAAAGAGGCTGGGTTAAAATAAAGGCAGAAGTTTCAGAAAATACTTTTTATGCCTTCGGGTTTGCAAGGTTTTTTTTAAAACCAATTAGCTCCTGATTGAACAGGGACTCTGGGCAGTGGCAGAGTGATGTCACCACCCTCCACAGGCCTGCCTGAGCCCTGCTCAGAGCCAGAAACGTGGGGAAAGAGGAACAATGCTATTTCTTGCTAAGAGGAATAATGCTATTTCTACAGCCAGTTCCCCTGCAGCTATTGCAGAGAGCTGTAATGATGGCACAAAGAACATTTCCAAAGCCAAGGTGTGCTCATCCCTGGGACACAGGGAGGGAGCAGGTGACAAACCAGGGACACAGCAATTCCTGGTTAGAAACCTTGAAGAAAAGCAGGCAACAAGGCAAAAACATGAACAAACCCCTATGCAAACAGCAGCAGCATCAAGGCAAGGCTATGCAAAGATTATCAGAATTGTTAGGGATAAAATCAGCCTAAGAATGAGAAGGAGCAGACAGCTGATGTCTGACCATGGGTGAAACATCAGCTCCATGCTGGCAGAAAGCAGCAGGAGTCAGCTACTACCCTCTAAATCTGGATTGAGACCTCAAATGCAGCACAAATATTTGAAGGGAACAGCTGAAAGGCTGATAATTCATGCAGGGCTAAATATCAGATGGCCTGCAAACAGAGAACACAGAGTCTGGATCTAGAGACTTGCCAAAAAACAAAGCAACAAACCCTAACTAAACAAAAGCCACCTTGTACATGCAGAAAACCAAACTATTCTAAATATATCAGGATCAGGGAAGGCAGAGGGCAAGCCCAGCACAGACATGGTGGCTGCTGCTTATCTCTAGCACAAAACTCCTGGCACATTTGCTGTGGCTGGAATGATGCAAACACACATTATAACCTCAGGACATGCCACGGGCTGGGAGCCAGGGCAGGGAAAGAGCTCTGTGGGGGAGGCCTGATGGATTCTCCAGCACTGCTGATCAAAGGCTGCCTGCCCATGAAAGACTTGGGGAAGTGGCTCCAGGATGCCCATCAGCACCAGCCCCTCTGGCCACGAGGAATCTGCAGAGAATGCAGCAAAAACAGGGCAGAGGGGTTGGGTTTAATTTATACAAAAACATATATGAAAAAAAATTATATATATATATATATATATATATATATATATATATATTTATATATTTTTGTATAAATGTTATAATATATATAAATATATATTTTATATATATAACAGTAATACAAAAATATTTATATATAACTTGAAATGCATATTTATATCTTTATTTACATTCATATTTATATGAATAAAAACAAATATATTATTATAAAATATATAAAAATATAATATTTTATATATAAATATTTTAGTATATATTATATAAAAAATATATATTATAGTATTTATTTAGTATATATTATATATAAAATATATTAAAATCAATATTATTTATAATATAATAATCAATATTATATTTATATAAATATTTTAAATAGATATAAATATATATTATCTATATAAAAACAGATATAATTTATGCTATATATAATATAAAATGTACATTTATATAATTTATATAAATTATATTTATTTTTATATACATATATTTATATTTAATATAATATATTTATATTATAGTATAGTTGTACTATACTATATAGTATATTATATTTATAATATACTATATTTAGTATATTGTGTTTATATTTTATTATTTATATTATATAAAAGTACATATTTATATAATATTAATATTTATTATCGATGTGGAATATTTATATTTTAGTATGGTTGTGGGATATTTCTATAGAATTGTGTTTACATTTATAGATTATATTTTTATATGATTATTTATTGTTCTATATTTGTATATTTATTTAATATCAATTTTATATCTATTTATATGTATATATATGATGAGGCATAAGCACACAAATCTCCAGACCAGAGATGCTCAACCTGCCATTTCAAATCAGCTTTTTAGCTGCCAAACTACACTCCCAGGAACCAGGAAAGGGAAGGATCCTACCCTGGGATCTGACACTCACAGAAGTCTGCTTCATGTTTTCCTTTATTCCTCTTCCCTTCGCCAACCTGGGCACTCAGAGGTGCAGGATGAGCTGCACTGGGGTTGCTGCTCTGAAGGATTGAGGCACTGCTAGTGAAGGCATTCTTTTTGGAGGGATGGAAAGCAGAATCTGCTCTGATCCTCGGGAATCACAAAATAATGAGACTTGAGATGCCAACTCGTGGCAGGATTGTGAACAAAACACTTTATAAAGTACAAACTATTTTAATAAATGATTGTACCTCAGATACATGAGAAACAAAAGGTGAGGCTACCATCATTACAGAAAACCAGTTATTAATATTAAACAAGTTATTGATATTAATCTTATTAATATATCATTAATAATTATATCTATTATATTAATAGAGACACAGAGGTCTCTATGCAGAACCTCAGTGAACATTTTATAATTATATCTATTATATTAATAGAGACACAGAGGTCTCTGTGCAGAACCTCAGTGAACATTTCATTTAACCCAGGACTGCTTTAGAACACACCCAACTGAGCTCTGCTTCTATCAGCCATTGCAGCACAGAAAATACAGAAACACAGAACAAGATTCTACCTAAAAAACCAGGCTGATGGGTTTTTTTTCCCTGGTTACTGTCAGGATGATTGAGGGACACAAAGCCTCAGTTCCAAGGTGGAGCTGGATTATTACAAAGCTTCCCTGAGCCAGACTCCTCACTGGTCCTTCTAGTTTGGGCAACAGGCAAGGGCAGTAAACAAAGCTGACATTAAAGAAGAGTGGGAGGACAAGGTCACCTGTGTGAAGGTAAAACTTATTTTACAGTGAATCATTCCAGAGAAAAGTCTTTCTTTTTTTTTGTCCAAGCCTACCACAGCACATAGCTGAGATGCTTTAAATACAGAAAAGCCCAAATGTGTCACAGGTGAGCTGTATGATCATGGCAAACCTGCAGGTTTTGGAAAAGGACTCCAGCTCTTGAATGCATGTGGGAGACAGAATCCCAGACTGGTTTGGGTTGCAAGGGACTTAAAGCTCACCCAGTGCCACCCCTGCCATGGCAGGGACACTTTCCACTGTCCCAGGCTGCTCCAAGCCCTGTCCAACCCTGGACACTTTCAGGGGTGCAGCAGTCACAGCTGTTCTGGACAGCTGGATGG